TTATTCTTGTTTATTGTATATATATATATATATATATATATATATATATATATATATATATATATTATTTTTCTGTATAATTTATTTTATTTATTGTACATAGAGTGTGAATGTGATCTTTGAACTCTATTATAAAAGTCCTAGAGACAGATTGTAATATTTTTCAATAAATAAGTTTAAAAAAAAAACAAAAACTTTTATACTATTTGGAGGGTTGATCCAAAAAATAAGAATAAAAAAAATTAAATAAAAGGATAAACATAGTGATTGAGTTATCATTATCATTAATAGCACGAATTTCAGTATTTGTAAGTTGGTAAATCATGTAAAAAATAGTACATAGTTGTTAGTTTTTAACAAATTACTAAAATGAGATAACCAGTTTTTTTTCCGGGTATGATAACAAAAAACAACAAACTCATCAACTATATCTAACAATCAGTAAAAATCCACTGGTCCCGATAACACAAAATGTATCCGATGTGTTCAGATTATTACCCCTCATTTCCGTTAACAGTCAGTAAATATTCACTGAATGAGCACGAACGGGTGGTCCTGGTTCTTTATTCAGTGGCACGTCATTCCCACATTATGGTATCTGCGGCTCAACGGGGAAAGCGATACATCATTCATATAAAGGAAATCTCAGCACATGGAGGTGGAAATCAAAGATACATTTAAAAAAACTAACACGTTACGTTATAAAAACTTAAGAAATTTTGCTTCCCCGCACAATTTCGTCGTTCGTTCCCCATCCCACATGCCAGAGTTAATAAAGAGGAAAAAAATCTAACGGTTAAGCATGATCTCGAACAGCACAACACTACTTCCTTACAAAGAACTGAACCCACTGTCCTTCATGCCTGAGATCATTGATCAGTTAACAAATCGCAGGCCGTGAGAACATTAGTTATATTAATAAATAAATAGTAGATATCTTTTTTCAAAAATTCCTTTCCAACGATATATTATACGTATATTCAATCTTAGAAAACAAATAAATTTAAATTTAATTTCCTTGAAAAAATGTGATTTACGTTGAATAATATTAGTTTAAAAAAAATATTATTTATAATTTTTCGCAGCTCTCCGTTACCTTTTACAACTTTCTATACTAGATATAGTATTTTTCCCCTTTAAATTCTCCCCTTTCAAACTGTATTTTATACGTATACCTTCTGACTATTCTTTCCGGAGATTCATTATCAACTTGGATAAGCATTTTTCTTTTTTTCTCCTTTATTATCAATTATCAATTTCTTTCAAAAGTTGGATTTAATTTTGTTTGATAACTCCTTACAATAAAAGATTGTTAATTATTAAGAATAAACCAAATTAAAGGTACTTTAGATGAAGACATTTAAAACATTTGGCATTTAAGCCATGTTAAGCGACGTCAATATGGATAAGACCTTATTGATATTAAAGATTACTAATTATACATTGATACAGCGAGTTTAATCAAAATAGTTAGAGCCGTTTTCGAGAAAATCGCAAACATGTGTAAAATCGATGGTATAAAGTGGCACTTCTGGTAAGCCGATTTTATTGAAAAAGTTGCTATCACTTCGGAACCATATGCAAACCTTAAATACGCAATTTAAGTTTCGTACGACTTTTCTTTTTTTGGCCAGGCCGGTATCCGTCGATCCCTATAGGGTGCGTTCGAAAACTCGTTCATTCACATACTTCTACAAACTAGAATGTAGTTATTCATTCCACTTTCTCTCCATTCCGGACTTAAATGTGAATCCAATCACAAACAGATCTACTGTCTGCTCATCAGACTACAAAATTTATATTCTCTTTATGGTTTACACAAGTTATTTTTTCTTCTCGATACTACCTTATTCTTTTATATAATACGGTTACATATTCAACGTTTTGGTGCTCTGCCCTATCTTAAGAAATTTACTTTTTACTGTTCCTAAACTTAATATAAGTAAAATATAAAATTTATTATACCGTCATATTTTAAAAATATTTGTTCCAATAGTTTAGGAACATCCTTAAGGTTCCTACATCGTTAATTATTATTGAATAATTTATCGAAAACTCGAGTTTTCAAGCAATCCTACCCATCTTTGAAGAACTAAAAAATGTAAAGTTCTATACTTAGTCGAACAATACTTAAAACAAGGCACTAGACTTTGTAACTTCGTTCCCTTTATAGGCACTTATAAACACTACTTCTCAATTTTGCGAACCTATTAATATGTGGGGGGGGGGGAGGAATCACCACTAAATCTTCACTGAAAGTGGTCTTTCAATGAGAACAGTGTCTCGGTTATTAGGGATCAATCTAAGGGCAATTTAGCGAACCCTCAGCCGACTGAGATAGAAGCAATCGTAGCGGGCGAGAAAGATGGCCAGTTTCAAAAGTACCGGTATTAATTAATGGTTAATAAAACCAGTTGATATCAATCAAATGATTATATATAAATATTTTAAAATTTAAAATAAATTTAAAGATTATCATGAAACAACGGAATGTGTGTCATTAATAAACAGTATTCATTTATAGCATGCTGAGAACATAAAACATCACAAAGTTTAATATATTTTATACTGCACAATGCATCCATCAATAATTACTCATCTAAAATTTGGAATGACCAATTAAGTATTTATTAATATTATTTATAAAATGAGATTTTTTTATCGTTCTTTGTCCATTTTTGTTCAGTGTTTTGATTCGGAGTTATTTCAAAACACTTATCGGACCCAACGAATAATTCGAGCTATCAAGCTTAAAAAGCCGTTGACTCAAAAAAATCGTTACATATCCTTTAGCGGCTCGATTAAAATAGGCCTAATACAATCATTTTTTTGTGTCTTGAGCCCAAATTTATTCGAAACACACATGTGATCTCACCAAAAATTAGAGCTATCAAACTTGAAAATCATTGGGGACCTTCACTCGAAAAATTGTTAGGTACCTTTTAGTAGACAACACAAACATATGTTAACATCGTGTAACTAAGCTGTAGTCGGGTAATAAAAAATTAAACGGAAATGACAATATATACATATATATATATATATATATATATATATATATATATATATATATAGAGAGAGAGAGAGAGAGAGAGAGAGAGAGAGAGAGAGAGAGAGATCGTAGACCAGAAACAAACAAATTTGATACAAAGAAAAACTAGAAACTCTTTAACAGATTTATTTATAATCTCAATATGAATATGTACAAACTCAATAAAATTTAAATATTCATCTGTGATTATGCTAAAAAATTAATTTTAAAAAACTAGATAATTTTACCTCACAGTCAAAACGATACACCTCACTTCTTTTTAACTTTACAATACTATTAATTTAGTTTAATATCTTGTAGGGAAGCCATAATTTTCTACCACTTCTTTCAGTCTGTTTGTAATGGAGTCGAATAGTTTTTAGGTGAATTCTGGGCTTAGCCTATTCCACTTTTCGAGGAGATATTTTTTAATTGTCTTCGTTAATAGAACTTTAATGTTTTCCAGTTTCCACCTCTAACTTTGCCCACAGGTGTTCTATCACATTATGATCTGGTGTCTGTGTTAGAGTTTGTATAGTTTCGGGACAGTCGTAAATTAGCTATTCCTTAACTGACATGGAAGAGGGTATGGAGTCATTACCCCGATAAAAATTAAATTTGTTTTTAGCGCCAGATTTTCAAAAATTTCTTTCAAGTTTATTCTCAAAATGTCTATGTAAACTATTTCTTCACCATACCGTGTGGATAAATAACTCCACTATAAAGTGAAGATTTCCTACCAACAGAACATAAGAAAAGAACATAAATGATAACATAACATAAGAAAAAGAAAAAGAACATAAGAGAATAGGTAATTGGCAGAGATGGGCACTACTACTTTGAGTACTGAGTACCAAGTATTTTACTCAAATACTGACCTTTTTTGGAGTACCAAAGAATTTAATTACCACTTCAGTCGATGTCAAACGATTAACTGAAGTAGTGATTGAATTCCCAATAGTTATCCAATTTGAGTAAAATACTTGGAACTAGGTAATCAGAGTAGCATTTGCCCATCTCTGGTAATTAGTCGACTGATCGATTAATAGGGTGAAACGAAATTGTCAGGATTTAGAGTCAAGATTTTTTTTTCTTATTAAGTTAGCCTATTTATTTATATTAGGCTAACCTAATATTTCTTGACTGTAGATCTTGACAATTTTGTTTCATCATAAGAAAAGTACATATTAATAGGATGTATATTGATTACAACAAATTATTGTTTTCAATTCCTTCATATATTATTACAGTTCATATATAAATCGTTTTTGTTCCAAATATAAGCACCTCATGAATTTGACGAGAGGTTAGCGAATCGTATTCTCCACTTTTGTTTTTCTTTCTAAAATAAATAAAGTCGACGTGTCTCATTTCGTCAACTTGAGGCATCTATGATCAAGAGAGGAGGAGTTATGAAAGAAAACAAACTTTATTTGCGAATAACTAAAAAATTATACACTTTACCCTGAGTTATGCCCATGATTATATAAAATACTACTAAATTCCCTACAAAAGGAAAAAAAATATCATCGAAATCGGACAATTTTTAGAAAAGATACAGCTTGTTAAAATATTTAAACATGGTTGTTCCAAACATAATGAAGATTTAAATTAATTTTTGTTTCCTTTGTACGATTATATTTATCAATAATGTAACCATTGGTTTCTTTATCTTTTGATACGTTGCATTTTTTTTATTTTCTTATTAATTTGCCATTTTATAACAATATGTTGTACAATTTTTCGTACGGACCTATTAGTATAATATAAATTGAATTATTTATTTATTCAATAATTTCTATCAATATCCAGGTGTATCATTTTGACTGTGAGCCACTCTATATACAAACACAAACATCATGAAGTTACATATACCCATACCTGATTATCTCAAAGAAAAATTTTAACCGATCATTAATAAAAATGATTTATTTATATTATGACATTAATTATTTATATTTTGTTACAGTTGTGTCAGAGTACACGAGAAGCGCCAGCACAAGAAGGACAGTGACAGTGAACGGCAATTGGAGAGAAGCACACGAGATGGTACCCATCAACAGACCCCATCTCCACTAGAGAAATAGCTGTCTGCCATCTAGCGCATAGAGGGCCTCGTGTGCAAAGACACTAAACGGACACGTGTTTTCCACAAACTTTTAAGAGTAATGCTTTCTTTCTGGTACTAGAAGAGGAAAAAAAAAATCAAAGATGACTAAATCCAATGACAAATAAATGTTGCATGTTGGTAAATTGTTGTCTTATTCACTTCAATCGGGGTTCGACAATATTGACAAGCATTTATCAACATGGCAGCTCATAATAAAACTCAAAGTGACTTGGAGATTTTGAGGTCCAAGAAAATTTAAATAGGTAAGTAAATATTATGACGAACAAATTTGATGGCCAATCGGATGTGAAGAATACAATAAGAAGTTAGGACCGGCCTTATAAATAAACATCTCTAAGAAAGTTCAATAGGAACAAAATACTGATGGTTACCTTTAAAAGTATATCTTTATAGCCTTATTTATGGACCTTTATAAGGGAGGTTAGAACATCTCATATAAAAGGTTTCATTTAATTTCACGCATTTAGCTTCATTCAACAGATTTTTAAAAAATAAATTTACCTTTTATATTTTTCATAGTTAAGATACCTTTAGATCAGTAGCAGATTCAGGATTTAATTTTGGAGGAACTTCTTTTTAAATACTTTTGAAATAATAATAAAAAATCTACCAACATAAAATCGGTAATTACGGGAAAATAATGCTTTTAGAGATTCTTGACACTTGCTTCCATTTAGCAGCCCTATATGCATAATAATTTAAAAATAAAATGTATTGTGATTGAAGTATTTTGTACTGTTCTCTATGGTATTCCTTGACGATTAAACCGTACATGTAGAAGAGATATGCATGGAGAAAGACGTACTTACTTTTCGGATAGAAATGGAAAAAGGTAAGATTGTGAAGCATAGAAAGAAAACATTTAATTTAAGCCACTTATGCGTTCCAACTGTAAACGAACATATAAGGACCGAATACAAACGATTCATCCTGATAACGAATGGAAAATAGACATAAACTTGATATATGAGGGATATTCTATTAAAAATGTATAGCGACAAAGGAAAAATATACGTTAAATATTAAACAAATAAAAATATAATACAAAGTATGAGTAACGCATCTGAAGTAGCTTATATCAGTTATTCTCACAGTGCTTGAATAATAATGAAATTGATAAATAAAAATCAAAGAGTAGATAAACTAAGAGCTGTCGAATCTATGAGAACATCCATAGTAGAAACAAAAACATAGTAGAAGATTTGAATACTGGCGTATTCAGACAAACGTAGATTTGAAAACACGAATCATATTAAACGCTGTACGAAATCAGAACTTTCTTGTTTGCAATTTATACATTGCAGAAGTCTAAATCACCTTTCTCAAATAATTGACAGGACTAAGAAGTTCACAATTGAAACTGAAAGTTCTAAAAATTAGTTAATACTATTGATATTTTAAAAATATATTTATTTTATTTCTCCTCCATCATTTCTTTAAAAGAAGGAAGGCATTACTCCAAAACCGCCAAAATGTTCACTAAGAACGACATATAAGCATTACCTATATAGACATGTATATGTATTTATTGTGTATATATGTGAAGAAGTGTTCATACTTATAAATATAGTAAGTAAGCTTTCAACTAAATTCTAGTCGTATCTTTTCTGTAAGTACTTATTATTATTATTATTAATATTGCATCTATGTAAATATACACTGTTCATCTATATAATGTTACCTTACTTGAACATATCGACAGATTTATATTTTTAATTGAATTCTACACAAATTGGATATAAAACATTTATTGGATGTTTTACAATAACTCTTGTAGATACTATATGGAAATACATATATAATGCTTTGTATTATATAAATATTTAATTCGTTTCAATGAAAATAAATAAGAATGTACATATATACGAATATTTAAGGTTGTAACAACGATAAGTATAGTATTTAATTAATGTAATAGTGTGTGTTGTATTTTTATGTTGTATAAGTGTTGTCGTCTATTTAATTAAATATTTCTCCTCCATAAGTTGTAAATATATGTAACTTCCAGAAATGTATTAATTAATGGCTACAAAGTGTTTAGCTTGTGTTGATATTAAATAAATCATGATCCAAAGTATCCTTATTTCTCATGTGAATAAATATTTTAACTTGATTTTTTAAGAGAAGGTTTTATGATGTTAGTGTAGTAACTCCTTGTAAGTCATTTAGTTTGATAATATGCCACATTGACAAAGGGAAACGAGCAAAAAAATGAAAGAAACCAAAGTCGCGACGAAGTTTCGACAGACGGCAGGAGTGGAAGCATTTATGTCACTCAACATTAAAATATTTTAAATTACAATTAGGCATCTGAAAGGAGGAATAACAATTCAAAAAAGCGCCTATTCTTTATATGCAGACAATATTTCAGTCATATAATTTAAGAGTGCTCTTTTATTAATTCAATTCAGGCTAAAGGTTTTGAACTGTGAAGAAAAACTAAATTCTTGAACTTCTAATGTATCAAATCCTTTCAGCTTTTAGTTTTTCGAACAGTAGTCACATTCGTTTCAGGCCTTATCCCGTTCATATTGTCCCAATTTCAGAAGATACCTTACCCATCGTCATAATCATTCAGGAAAATCCATATGTACATGAACTCATCCCTACAATCCCCCTCGAAAATTGAAACAGCAAAGCCCCCAGATCTTTTGTAAATATGCAAATCTCAAGTTTCGAGAATGGCTGAATTCTCCACTCAGTTTCTGTAGGCCTGTATCGCCTTCGTTTCTACAGGCTTTAAAAACTCGGACGGTGTTATGGGAGAGGAGTGATATATCCATTAGATGTGTTTCCTAACCTAAGTATTTATTTTTAAATGAGAAGGAGTTAGTCGAGGGTGCGGTCAAATAAATAAAAAAATGAAAATATATAAATTATTTTAATTTTTGTCGACGTTTCGACCCACTTTGCAGGTCGTCTTCAGGGCGTAGGATGTGGCACTGCGGGAGGCAGTTGAACTGACTGCCAGTGTTTCAACTGCCTCACGCAGTGCCACATCCTACGCCCTGAAGACGACCTGCAAAGTGGGTCGAAACGTCGACAAAAATTAAAATAATTTATATATTTTAATTTTTTTATTTATTTGACCGCACCCTTGGCTAACTCCTTCTCATATTATATCAACGGTCAACCATCTCTACATTATTTATTTTTATATTTCTGAGGTGTTTAATTTTTGTTGTTCTTTATTAATTCATTCTGCAAATAAGGTATTTTACAGTTCATGACACAGTTTAACTCTAGCACTAATATATAAGCCTTTCAATTGACAGAAAAACAAATCCCCGAAGTCAAAACTTTCGATTATTAATTTTAGTGAGATTTTTAGCGGTGTAATTTACACCTTTATTCACTGTTCTATATTTAAACATTGATATCACTTACTCTGGAATTTTCTATAACTAACTAGAAATATCACTAAAATAACTTTACTCAAAAATATTGAAATTGGATTCATTCTGTCAACTGAAAGCCTCCTATATAAGGTGAGTCGGGAGGCACGGGCCAAATTTCGCAAACAAAATATAATTTTAAAAAACTCATATGTTGTTATCTGATTTACATTCGTAAGTACACATAAACAAAATTTTCTAAATAAATAATATTTCATACATACATGAGCATTTCGGTATTAGTATAAACAATCTTGTACACTTCAAATTGTAAAGAATTTAAAATCGGATTAGATTGGTTTATTGCAAAAAGCCACGTCAGAAGATGCGTAGTTGTTAATTTAGATCATCTTTATCGATAAACTAACATATTTAGTACATAATAAAATACAAAACCTTTTATATTTAAAAAAATGATTTTACTAAGTGCACGATGTTATGACTTTACAGAGAAAAAGTCACTATCTAGAACATAATGACTTCTTTCACTGGATTAATTGGTCATATATTTAACAAAACTAATTACATGAGATAAGTTTAACTCACATTCTATGTACTTGCACAATTATAAAAGTAAGTTAGTGTTTTGTTTAACAATGATAGTGTGCAAAAAGTCTTATGTGCGTCGTGGTTTCACTTTTTTTCAACGCTATGTACACGTTAAGTATTTTAATTTATTGTCGAAAATATAATACATATTTAGAATTCCAAAATAACAAAAAACAAATAACCAAACTGTTATTTTAGCATTTTTTAAATGAATCGGGAACTTCAAATTAAATCACCTCAAATTCATTAAAATGTTATTTTGAACTTTTTGCAATAAGCTAATAATATGGTAACTGTGCAAGTGATCATCACAGTGTTTTCATTCTTATTCTTTGTACTATTAAAGGTTTTCAAAAAACCAAATGCCAATTCACATAGATAATACGTTGTTTATTTATGGATTTTACAAAGGAAGATTTACAGCTGCTGCCACTTTCCGAATACGGGAATTATATTCTCAATGTAAAAAACATTAACGAACAATATATTTGAAAATTCTGTATGTGGATAGGATTTTTGCAGTTTGTAAGACTTTAGTCAAACAAATTAAATTATAGCACAATTAACGTATATTTTCATCGGATTGTAACAAGTTACCAATCTGTTCTAAACTAAATCAATACTAAAATATGTTTTTATTTTGGAAATTTTGTTCATTTGTTGTCAACCAATAAAATAATTTATACAAATTAAAATACGATAGGCATATATGAGGTTTTTTTTTTATTATTTTCCTGTGTGCAATTGTTTGGACCGTATTTAAATCCCCAATATATAATTATTAATTTATTTTATTTAAAACTTCCATTTGTAGATCTTTCCTCGCATAAATCAGCCTTCTCACCATCTGTCTTTCTAGGACAATGTTTTTGCTGATTCTATCTTCTCATCGGGTTTTCTTCTTCCAGTTGTCTCTTGCCAACTATTGTGTGATTCGTTGTTGTTTAGAGGCTTCTTGATAGGTAGCTTCGAATCTCATGTCCTACCAATATCATATCGTGAGATAGATCAGTTTCGGTAAACAGTTCTTTATTATATTTTTCTCCTCCAAACTACTGTTATCTCTCACATACTTCGTTCTTCTTTCTAGGATACTCTTAAAGGTCCAGACTCTGCACCCGAATATCAGAACTGGCCCTTATTATATACATTAACCATTTAAGGATAGTTAATTTATTAAAATTGTGCTCTCAGAACTCTATTATAAATGTCCTTATATTACAGATTGTAATATTTATCAATAAACAAATAATACAGAAAAAAAATGATTAAAATGAAAGACATTTTTTCCAGCTTTAATGAAACTCAACTTTTTTGTTCTGGACGTAAATAAAATGAATTTAAAAAAGTTAACAAACGGGATCGGTCACGAACGAATAGTTAAAAAAAAAACATAACTGGAGTCCTTTTAGATGTTACATGATAGCCGAACGGCAAGATCCGGAAAGGTACCTGGAAAGTACTTCAATCAAAAGCATCAAAGGAAATGGTAATTGTAGGTCGCAAGAGATCACCACACTCAAACAACTGCCACGATTAGGACCAATTAAAACTTTCGTCTCTTCTGAAACCAACAGTTTAATTAACGTTACCACTTCTAACGGAGGAATTTCCGAGGCTTGGACCCAGTAAAAAAAAGTTAAAAATAAATCTAACCACGAAAACAAGGCCTTTTATTCAATTACTAAAAAGGAAGGTATTAATTCAAAGTATAAAGGTAATTATGAAAGTGCAGGCTCTCTGGAGTTAAAGAATTTAAGGTTCTCTCGTTTAGTCGGATTTAATACGCAAAGGGGCAGGCTTGATATAAAACGTAAAATAAGGGGAACAGAACTTAATTTCAATGGACAATTAAAAATAATATGGCTAATAAAAATAAAGTTACTATCTAGCTACATTCTCATCGTAGTCAGAAGAAAAAATGTATTCCATCATTAAGAAATTAAATTGAATTTATAGGTTATAAATATTTTTTTAATTAATCAGAAGTGATAAAAAAAGTTAATACATAAGAGAATTGTGCCTCTAGCTTACAATAGTGGTATATTAAATGGTACTAAATAAATCAATAGTGCATTCCTTTGATGAAAAAAGTTTCGATATTTGTGTTGCGAATTAACGATTTAAAATTTATTTAGATTATATGTATCTAATACAGTTTTAAAGAACAAAAGGCTGTTTTATATTTTCAAACTTTATTGCTTTTGTTTTATGAATTTTTGAGATAACTTTTGAAAGATGGTTCTATACCATGCCAAGTTATTTTTTTTTAAATGAAGAAAATGTAAAATTTAAATTAAATAAAGCTTTATCTATTATCATTGTAAGCGGTACCGAACCTACGGGTCTTTCAAATGTATTTGATTATTATTAATAATTATCATAATTCAGAAATTACTTTCCAAAAAAGCTCCTGGACCGATCTCGTCACCTCCCGAATCCTAAAGCAACTTCTATGAAAACCTTTCCTACTCTTCACCTATATATATAATGCTGTACTTAAAACCATCTATTTTCCTGATTCTTGGAAATTTTCTAAAATAAAAATGATTCTAAAACCTAAAAAATCATCTGAATACCCATCTTCCTATTGATCTATTTCCCTTCTGCCTTTCATGAGCAAAATAATAGAAAAAATGATATTAAAACGCCTTTATCCAATCCTAGACTCATATCACTTGATCCCTGACCACCAGTATGGATTTCGAACGTCTCATTCCACTATTCAGCAGTGACATCTTGTGGTAGATGTCATTTCTTCCACATTGGAGCGCGGAATGTAGAGCACGTCAGCTTTTCTCGATGTGGAACAGGCCTTCAATCTAGTATGGCACTCAGGTTTGCTATACAAACTTCGTCAATTCCTGCCTCCTACATATTTTCTATTAATCCGTTCCTTCATCACAGATAGAACCTTCAATGTAAATCATAACTCTGCCTACTCACCCCTCTTTTTCCAGTCCGATGGTGTTCCTCAAGGAAGCATCTTAGGTTCCATACTTTACACAGTTTATACAGCTGATGTACCGACCCATCCTTACCACCTATGCTGATGACATATGTGTGTTATTTTCCAACAATGAACCAATTGTACCATCTCAAACATTTCAGCCAATGAAGAATAGTGTCATAA